ACTTCGTAGTTGTTTGAATCGACTTCATAGTCGTAGGCTTCGTAGCCTTGCCGAGATTCCACTCGAGGTATACAACTTCGTAGTTGTTTGAATTGACTTCATAGTCGTAGGCTTCGTAGCCTTGCCGAGATTCCACTCGAGGTATACAACTTCGTAGTTGTTTGAATCGACTTCATAGTCGTAGGCTTCGTAGCCTTGCCGAGATTCCACTCGAGGCATACAATTTCATAGTTGTTTGGATCGACTTTATAGTTGTCATGATTAGTCGGCTATATAGCCGTTTCGAAAAATTCAGTTTATCCAACAATTATGTAAGAAAACAAATAAATATAGAGACACCTTCGAAGAGTACATTCAAAATCCATTTCATTACTGAATATGATTTGATTGTGGTTCAGTACAAAAGAAAAATTCGAGAACATTACTTAAGCGTAAAAACGTTTGAGATGGGTAACGTGCCAAGATCGCGGCAGCTGTCGTCCTTCTATATCTTCAAGTTCATATGCGCCTCTCTCGAGCACCTTGGTGACTGTGTATGGCCCTTCCCAGTTTGCTTCTAGCTTCCCGACATGCTTCAGGACATCGACCTTCTTTAGTACGAGGTCTCCTACTTGAAATCGCCTGGTTCGCACGATTATCACATGATTCAAGAAGAAAGGCCGCAACTTTCTAGCTGTGATCACCAAGGTGAGGGCAGCTTTCTCGACTTCAGTATACCTCGTCTCGGCACCCTGCAGTACCCGACTTGTGTAATAGATTGGTTGTTGTACACCTCCGGCTTCTCGTATTAACACCGAACTTAACGAAAATGTTCCCACCGAGATGTAGAGTATCAGTTCGTCGCCTGATTCTGGTTTTGTCAATAATGGCAGCTCGCTCAAAAATTCCTTCAGCTTCTCGAATGCCATTTGGGCCTCGTCATTCCATTGGAAAGCCTTTTTCTTTAGTAGTTTAAAAAATGGGAAACTTTTTTCAGTAGCTCGAGCAATGAACCTGCTTAGACCAGCGATTCGACCTGTAAGGATTTGAACCTCCCTGACACTCTTGGGTGGGGCCATGTCGAGGATAGCCTGTACTTTATCCTGGTTCACCTCAATGCCTTTCTCGGTCACGACATAACCCAAGAATCGTCCCGCTCTCACACCGAAGGCACATTTGCCTGGGTTCAACTTCATCCCAAACGCCCTTAGTGTGTTGAGTGTTTCTCTTAGGTCCTCTATATGCGAAGTCGAGGACCTACTTTTCACCAGAATATCATCTACATACACCTCCACATTTGGCTCAATCTGCGATTTAAACATTCTATCCATTAACCTTTGGTATGTTGCCCCTGCATTTTTGAGTCCGAAGGGCATGACGATATAGCAATACGTCCCCCTGCTTGTGACGAAGCTAACTTTACTCTGGTCCTCGGGGGCTAGTGGAATTTGGTGATATCCTTGGGACGCATCCATCATGCTCAATAGTTCGCAACCAGCCGTTGAGTCGACTAGCTGATCGATCCTTGGCAGAGGATAATGATCCTTGGGACACGCCAGGTTTAAATCCCAAAAGTCGATGCACATCCGCCATTTGTCCAACGCCTTTCTCACCATTACGGTGTTGGAGATCCACTCAGGAAACTAGATTTCTTTAATGTGCTTAGCTTTCAATAATTTGTCGACTTCGACCTCGATCGCTTTGTCTATCTCTGCTTAATGGTGTCTCAATCGTTGCTTGACAGGTTTCTTCAGGGGGTCGACATTGAGCTTATGCTGTATGATCTCTGGATCGATTCCCGTCAGCTCCTCGGGCGAAAAAGCGAACACGTCCCTGAACTCCTTTAACAATTCCACTAACTGCCTCTTTAGCTCTTTCTCCAATCCTCCTCCTATCTTGGTGGTTTGGTCCTCCCTTTCCCCAATTTGTATTTCTATTAGCTCCCCATGCGGCTTGAGGTCACTCCTCATCGGCCTTTTCTCGCTCGGTGTTGGCTTTTTTCCTTCTCTCACTTCCGTTTTCTGGTTTGTCTTTATAGCTATTTGATAACAGGCTCTGGATAATTTCTTATCCCCTCGTGCTTCTCCTACCCGATCGCCAACTGGGAATTTCAGTTTCATGTGGTAAGTCGACACTACAGCCTGAAAGGCATTCAACGCCGGTCTTCCGAGAATCACATTATAGGCTGATTCGACGTCGACCACCACAAACCTTATCATCTTCACCTTTCGCAAATCCCCTTCTCCTAAAACGACAGCGAGTGTGGCCTCTCCCAAAGGCGCGACCTCCGAGCCGTTGAAACCGAAAAGCGATGTATGCAGGGGTGATAATTCAATGTCGAGGTCCATCCTTTTGAGGCAATCGTAAAAGATTACATTGACCGAGCTCCCAGTGTCAACAAAGATCCTCTGTACCTCATATCCCGACACTTGGGCGGTTATCATTAAGGCGTCATTGTGAGGCCTCTCGACTTCCCCCACGTCTGCTGGCCCAAAGTTCATCACTGGTCCTCCCTCATCGACTTGGTGGACCTCGACTTTAGCATGCTTTCCTCGAGAATATTCTTTCCTTGCCCGGTTGGAGTCTCCATCAGTTGGCCCTCCGAAAATCATGTGGATCACTCCCCTTTTCATAGGAAGCTCGTCCTTCTCTGGTGATCTTGTCCTCTTGCGAGGACTTTTACTCATTTCTTTCCTTCGATTTGTCCTCTCTCGATCCTTGTATATGAATTCCTTCAAGTGACCGGCCTTTATCAGCCTCTCTATTTCGTCTTTCAGGTGCCTGCAATCATCAGTGTTATGCCCGTAATCTTTGTGGAATCGACAGTATAAGTTGCTCTTATGCCGCGTCGGCCCATCATTCCTCGTCTTGGGCCACCTCACCACATTGTCACGAATCTCCCTCTCCATGACTTCCAGGATCCTAGCTTGCGGGGCCGCCAGAGGGGTGTACTGAGTCGGCCTCCAGCTTCTAGGTCGTCCGTCCTTTTCCGCTCGTGGGGATCCATTTGTCTCCCCGGTCGAGGAACCCCTCTTCTCTCTCCTCTCGTCACGAGGATCTGTTTTGGTTACTTTGACGGCCCGCGAGAAATCGGCTTCTGCCTCCTCGACATTCATATATTTTGCGCACCTCCCCAATACTTCGTCAAACGTCCTACCCGGGCGCTTGGCAAGGGAATTCCTGCACAATCCTGGCAACAGCCCTCGAGTTAATCCTCCCGCTTTTATTTCTTCCGATGCTCTGGGCACTTCAACACACGCTCGCGTATACCTTGCTACATAATCTCGCAGCGACTCCCCTTCTTTTTGTTGTATGCCCATTAGAGTCAGATATGATTTTTCCTGTGGCCTAACACTCGCGAATTGGTTAAGGAAACTCGAGCTGAACCCCTCGAAGTCCTTAATGGCTCCTGCCGGTAATTGGTGAAACCAGTCCTGGGCCGATCCTCGCAACGTCTTCAGGAAGGCTCGACACTGCACCGAATCGTTGTAACGGTGGAACACTGCCATATTCTCGAAGCTCCTCATGTGTCGAGATGGGTCGGTCGATCCGTCGTAGCTTATGTTTAAGTCACGAAAACCCTGGGGAAGGTCGGCGTCGAGGATGTGTTGAGAGAACGGGTGTCCCCTCGGGCCACCAGTTTTCCTTCCTTCAACCCGGGCCTGCAGATCCCGCACTTGGGCCAACAGTTGTTCCAACGTCTCATCCCTCGCTTGAGGGTTAACTGTCCTGACAGAAGAAGCTTCCTCCTCCGCTCTCCGGATTGGCCTCTCGTTAGACTGGGCCGGCTGCTCGCGCTCGACAATGGGTTGCTCAACCCTCAATGGTTCGACCCTATTCTCCTCGACCTGGGGCTGCCCAGTTTGAGCCTGCTTCAGTTGAGCTGCCACCGCTTCTGCTATCATTTTCTGCATCTCACCTCTCGTCACTGTTATGGTGTGCTCCTCAGCTTGTGATCGGACGAGCGCCTGTTCTGGCCCTTCCTGGATTTGTTTCCCTGCCCCCCGAGACATATCGGTGGGTTCCGTATTGAGATTTTGACTCACCCCTGCAGATGCCAACACCGGCACCTTCACTCCGGGCGGAGTAACAGGTGTTTCTCCGCCCAGATCTACTCCTAGAGGAGGCGGTCCTCCAAATGGTGGTAGGCCTAGCACTTGCATCAGTGGAGGTCTAGGAGCCGAGAGCGATGGCGGCCTCCTATCCGTCCAAGCTCCCCTGAACTCTTCGTTCAGATTCCTCTGCAAACCCTCCTTCTCGGCCATCATAGACAGATCAAAGCTAGGTGTGAAGCCCTTAGTCCCTTCAAGAGCTCCCCACAAACGGCGCCAAAATGATGGGTCTCCTCCTAGATCTGGAGTGAACCGGATGGGATGAGCTCGTATCTGTCTGGATCGCCTTCGAACTACCTTTAGACTGCGAGAATACCTGCACAAAATTCAACGCCGGAGGTGTTTCCGGCGAAGAGCCTCCGACGCTCAAGTAAGTATGAGAGAGAGAAGATAAGACTGCCCCGAGAGCAGCAGCCAGAAAAGAGATGTAGAATGGAATGGGAAAGTTAGGGTTTTAGGGCTACCTCTCCTCCTTTATATAGGAGGGTACATTTACCTTGGATGCCCAAAGTACCCCAAGTCGGTGGACCTGAAATGTCCAAATTACCCTGGTCGGTTCGTCTTCCCTCCTTGCTGAGTCACCTTCCATATTTCCTCTTATCCGCTAGAGTAGGAGCATATTCACGGAAAACCTTGGATACTAAGGCTAGGAGGTCGTCCGCACATTAGGTAGCTCGAGGGAAGTCGTGGTCGACTTCCCACTCACCAAGTTATACCTCATTTCGTAGTCGATTTTCCCAAGTCGACTTACGCGCAATCGTCCTCGTCTTGCTGACACACGATGGTCTGTTCTCTCCTTAAGTCGACTTCCTTGAACTCGGCTCAAACGCTTTGATGAACCAACATCGGTATGCTATTGGTTCCATTCTCAGAGTCGAGTAGAGCTTTTGAACCGGATGGCCTATATTATGGCTATATCATATATATATATAGGGTTGGGTTCACATGAGAATGGTTCTCAATGAAAGAAATGAGAATAAATCGTAGTCATTAGATCAGATGATCTAATGGATAAAAAAAAAAGTCAAAATTATCCCTTTATTAAGGGTAGTATGGACATGTACTCATAAAGCAAATTAATATCCACCACATAATAGTAGGCCCCACCCAAATTAAACCATTTCACTTCCCAAATTTTACTTTCGCCAGACCCGTCACCTTCTCTCTCTCTCTCTCTCTCTCTCTCTCTCTTTCACACACACACACACACACACACACACACACACACATACAAACACACACACATACACACACACACACACACACACACATATACACACACCTCCACGGCCAGGCAAACAGATCCACAGACCGACCAGGTGCACGCTAGTCACTGGCCATCCGCGGAACTCCGACGCAAGCCTCCAGCCCTTTGCCACCACCCGCCACACGCGGATCACACACCCGCTCGCCGGAACAGCTCCGCCGCCTCCCACCCATCTCTGCCCGTCACACACATACACATACACACACACACACACACAGACATCTAACACACAGACACAAAACAACATTAAATCCGACCACCACACATAAAACCGCCGGAAACACTAAACCGCTCGCCGCCGCCGGAAGAACGGAAGACGACGTCGTCGTCCTGAAAAACTGGAGTTGCGATCGGAAATTTCATGTCCGAACGACGCTCAACATCTCCGCTGGTAGCGTGTCTGAGTGCGCGACATTCCCGATAGGCGCTCCAATCTCCGTCGGAGCTGAAAAATCCGACTGCACTACAATAACCAAAAAAAGCCGACGATTGTCCGACTGCAGGGAGCCCAGCGATTGTTCGACCGTGGTTGTGCCATCAATTGCCGTCGACCCTGTCCAAGCAACCCAATTCACGATCTGGCAGGGGGAGATCTATTAAGAATTGGAAATTTTATTTTAGATTTGGATAATTTGTAGGGACTTAATTGCAATTTCATGAATTTTCATTATTTTTCAATCTAATTTATGGTCCAAATTTGTAGAATATATAAAATATTTTTTTTAATATTTTTTATACATATATATTGTGCATATTCATCCAAAAGTAATATAAGATAATCAATAAAAACACTTAATTTATATCTATTAAATATGGTTTCAAAAAAAAAAAAACATTTAATTTATATATGATCATATAAAGTAGTGCATTTTATATATCACATGTTGCAATTTATAAAACAACACATTGCACTTTATGAATCTCATGTTGCACTTTACTGTCACGCTCTACATTTAACTTCAACAACTTCAGCCAAAATACCATACAATATAAATATAAAAAAAACGGGCATACATATTAATTTAAGATCAATAACATAATTTATTAACACAAAGCACAAGGATTGCAAACATAAAAATTAATGTAGTCTACTTTATACATCAATACGTTGCACTTTATAAAATGTCAGGTTGCACTTTACAGTACAAAGCGTTGCACTTTATTATGATTATCAGATTACACAAAAGATATCAAACCAACCAACCTCGACATTTTCAACAAAATAAAAATATAAAAATACTAAATAAAATTATTATCATATTGAATATAGTTTTTAATATAGATTACAAATTATTTCGATTATTTATAACATTCGGTAAATCAAACCAAATGATTATGTTCATTTTTAAATTGATTTGAGACAAAAATTCGGTTGGTTAGGTATGTACAATACGTACAGACCGACACCGTGCACTGTAGTGTTAGACGAATTGCACCGTAATAACTGTTAGATTGCATATTATATTTCGTTTACATAGACACTAATGTTTAAATTCAACAAGTAATATAAATTATTAAATAAAAAAAATAAAAATATGATTATTTTTTTGTAATAAATAATATGCCGGTTATGTTGATTATTTATGTCAACCGACCAATTAAACTGATTATGTTCAATTTTTTCATTTCGAAATATTATATTTCATTACTGTTGGTTCGAGTGCACATTAGTGTTAAAATGGTTGCACATTAGTGACTGTTAAATTGCACTATACCGACCAAAATCAATCGAACTAATTTTTTAATTCGACTTTTATAAGTCGGATCGATTAATCTATTTTGTCATTTAAATTTTAGTTATTGCGGTACGATGTAAACTTTATTTTTTTTTAAAATAATCGACCAACTTGTATAAAATTATTATTTTCTAATATTTTTCAACCAAAAAAAAAGTATAAAATGTTAGATGAGAATATTAAAATACTAAATATGATTTTATAATAAAAATAATATTTTAATCCAGTTAGTCTAGTTTTTTTGAGTAATCAATCAAATAAACTATTAATTCTTGTCGGTTTTAAATTGTTTGGGACATAAGATCGAACGGTATACAACATAATATGGACCGATATACTGCACAACATTGATATATGTATTGCACATTAATGTGTGTTAAGTTGCACCTTATATACATTTCATTAA